GGTTTGGACACTGTGAAGCTATATGTCCTGAACTTAAACACTTGAAACATTTAATATCCCACGACCTCCCAGCTTGATTTTCAATGTTTGGTTTATTTTTATCCACATCCTCCTTAACCTTAGGTACTTCAACCTTTCTCCTGGTCTCCAATCGATCATTCCTATCACCACTACTCCATTTGGGTTCCATAGTAAACCTAGCTGCCCTTTTTCGTCTGAGTTGCCTCTCCACCTTCATAGCCACGTGCACCAAGTCCTCCAACTCCACATAGTGCTACAACTCTACTACGTTAGCAATATCCCTATTCAACCCATTCAAAAACCTAGCCATTATGGCCTCCCGATCCTCCTCTACATTTGCCCGAATCATCGCCACCTTCATCTCCTTATAATAATCCTCCACACTCCTAAACCCCTGAGAAAGCGTTTGTAACTTATGATAAAGATCCCGGTAATAATGTCCAGTTACAAATCGTTTTCTCATGCAAGCCTTCAATTCTCCCAACTTCTCAATTAGCCTATCCAAATTTCTCATACGACTAGTCACCAATTGATCCCACCAAATAATAGCATAGTCAGCGAATTCTACTACAGCTAACTTCAACNAACTTCTTCTCCTCCGAGTAATTATGGCAATCAATTACCAATTCCACCTTCTTTTCCCACTCTAAGTAAGCTTCAGGGTCACTCCGACCTTGAAAAGCTGGAATATTCAGTTTGATATTTCCCAAATCTCCATCAACCCCTCGATCAAACCTACCTCCTCTATTCCTCATTCGTCCCATGTTAGCTTCCAAATAATATTCGCTAATACCTATGCTCACCTCCTCATCTTCCCCATCAAATTCAGCCATAAGATTCAGTCTTCGCCTATCTCCCATGAGGAACCCTTTGGGGCGTCCTTCGTTGCTGACTCTCAATCAAGGTTTCATACCTAGTACATCGCCACTAATACGTTCAATCGCCAAACCCAATTGATCAAACGTATGATGTATAGCCTGCATACTATCCATAAACTTCGCATAAAACCCCTTAGACGCCTCTTCCTCCTCGTCTCTACTCATATCTCCTTTTTTTTTTGCCAATAAGTAAATAACAAAAAAAATTAAAGGGAAATAAATAACAAGAAAATAAATTTATTTACCTCACGTGTTTGCACTCGTGTATTACTCGAAATTTGGCTTTTACCCGATATTGAGCTACCACTCTTGCCTTTTACCGCTCGTTCTCCTTTCTTAATGTCAAGGTTCGAGAAATAACCGATCTCAATCATATGGGGCATAATCCCACAATGAACACCACCACAAGCACAGTTCGGACAATCAACAGAATTCACGGACTCAGGTAATTAACCCAAATTCAAGAAATAAAACAAAAATGACTCAAAATTTTTCCTTCTTTGGTTTTGTTTTGCCTCTAGATGTTCACGAGATGTAGAGACTTTTTAAAGTCACGTCGTGAACAGTAACGACGTGATCAATATTTTTTTTACAATTAACTAGTTAATCTAGATGCAATTAAACAACGAAAATAAGGCCTAAAACAAGAACAATTAAATTTGAATTATTATTTTTTTACTCAAACAATAAAAATAACTAACAAAATAAATAAATGATAAATGACCTGATCTGATACCAACTGATGTGAACCCAACCAAGAATTGATCTTGGGAACTCACGAATAAGATGAAACCAACCCAAGAAAGCTAGAAATCACGTCACGCAAAGATCAACCCGACCCGTTGTTTGACCAGTATCAAGAACTAGATTACGCGTAAAAAATCTGACCCGTTGATTACCCGGAACAAGAACCATAAAGTGGGAATGCCACAAAAGGATTGCGAAACATTTTGATAAGTTCAATTTAGAACTTTAACCCACCAATAACACGGAGGAATAAAACTCTCAAATTTAATTTAATTCTCTCAAATAGTCAAAGTCCGCCCTACAATGAATAATAATAGATCATATTTATATGAAACTATGAAAAACCCTAATTTAACTAGATAATCTCGTGCCTAATTCAAATAGATCACAAAACATACTAAAAAGATGGTATTTAAGTCAAACTAGGAAACTACCAAAAAGATAAAATTATCGCCAATTTTTTTATACTATTTTCCTCCAACTTGTTCTTGGCATGTTTCTGTGCGATTGCAATCCCGAATTGTTCTTGGCATGTTTCTTGTGCAGAATTTCGTTACGATTCCGAATTGTACTCATGTGCGAAAATCCTACGCCCGAGCTGAGAGTTATGCCCATTTTAATTCACGCTACTCGTTTTCTTTCCAAATATCTTCCAAACTTTGAATCCAACTCGTTTCGGCTCCCAAGCCCTTCACGAAACTTGAACCTTGGCTTTTCAACTTCACCCATCTGAACACCATTGCTTGAACCCTTAACTTGTGTGACCCGACCAAGTGATTGTCTGTCCAGGATCATATCATGAAAGAAATTGCATGATGAGACACTATTGACGAGATGGAGAACTGGGATATGGGAGGGTGTGTGATTCCGACGGTGGAGAGGCAATAAGTTGTAGGGGATGGAGATGGAAAATATAATGTATAGTTCCAGCCCAAGATGTTTTGGGTTTAGTATAGAAATCTGAGTGAGGCGGCGAAATGGTTAATTTATTGGTGTGGATAGCGAAATTCTGGTGGTGGAGCCTTAGAGGCGACTGTGATATCGACGCCGTGGAGGAGAAGGTGGTGATGGTGGAGGCGTTGTCGATGGGTGGTGGTGATTTTGGGGTAAGGGGTTAGAATGGGGTAGGGGTAGGGTGTGGGAGATAGTGTGGGTGGGTGGTTTTAGTTTTTATTTTCTGTCTGTTTTTTTATTTATTAGTTAATATAATTGTTTTCCTTTTTTCTTTTTGCGAAAAAAATGTAAATTTAACATATTATTCTTTAAAATTGGTCAAAATAAGGCAAATTCTAATTCTCTGATCAACTAATGGTTAAACCAAATTGGTCAAAATAAGTCAAATTCTAATCAACTAATGGTTTTCATCAATTTGGACTTCATGTACGGATTTTTGAAAGGTTTGGTACCCACAGTGGTACAAATGAAAGATTTGAGCAAAATTTGTAATTAAATAAAAGGTTCGGTACCATAACTGTAATTTAAGAACGCCTAATTGAACAGAAAAACGTATGTTAAATATTAAACAAGGTCTAGATATGAAAATGGAGACAATACTATAAGGAGGTAGTACCGTTGAAACCGAAACGAACGTTAATGATTTTCCCTTCTCCTCTTTCTCGTTCAATCAGCTGTTCAAAATCGTCGCTGCCGCCGTCAGCTCTCAGCGACCGCCGACCACCTGTAGAAAATACATACAGATATATAGAGAGAAAGAAAGAAATATAGAGTGGGAGGGGGCCAGTGCGTGGAGACGGAGATTGAAAGGATGATAACGCGGTCAAATTTGGCGGAGCAGCTGAGAGAATATCAAATTCGATCAAAGCACGGCTGGGCTTCGACATCTTTTTTCTCGTCCACCTCTCATCTTACCTCCTCTAGGTTTGTTTTCCATTTAATTAATTCTTTCAGTTTTAATTATCTTGTTTTCCTTTCATCAACTGTTCTTATTTCTCTCTATCTTGGTATTTAGGGTTCCTTCAAACCTAATTTTGNTTAATTTAATTCTCTCAAATAATTAAAGTCCTCCCTACAATGAATAATAATAGTTCTATTTATATGAAACTATGAAAAACCCTAATTTAACTAGATAATCTCGTGCTTAATTCAAATAGATCACAAAACATACTAAAAAGATCTATTTAAGTCAAACTCGGAAACTACCAAAAAGATAAAATTCTCGCCAATTTTTTTATACTATTTTCCGCCAACTTGTTCTTGGCATGTTTCTGTGCAACTGCAATCCCAAAGGTACCATGCGCCCATGTTACGATTTCGAATTGTTCTTGGCATGTTTCTTGTGCAGAATTTCGTTACGGTTCTGAATTGTACTGATGTACGAAAATCTGACACCCGAGCTGAGAGTTATACCAATTTTAATCCATGCTACTAATTTTCTTTCCAAATATTTTCCAAACTTTGAATCCAACTCGTTTCGGCTCCCGAACCCTTCACGAAACTTGAACTTTGGCTTTTCAACTTCACCCATCTGAACTCCATTGTTTGAACCCTTAACTTGTGTGACCCGACTAAGTGATCGTCTGTCCCGGATCATATCATGAATGAAATGGCATGATGAGACACTATTGATGAGATGGAGAACTGGGATATTAGGAGGGTGTGTGATTCCAACGGTGGAGAGGCAACAAGTTGTAGGCAATGGAGATGAAAAATACAATGTATAGTTCCAGCCCAAGATGTTTTGGGTTTGGTTTTGGTATAGAAATCTGAGTGAGGCGGCGAAATGGTTAATTTATTGGTGTGGATAGCGAAATTCCGGTGGTGGAGCCTTAGAGGCGACTGTGATATTGACGTCGTGGAGGAGAAGGTGGTAGTAGTGTAAGCGTTGTCGATGGGTGGTGGTGATTTTGGGGTAAGGGGTTAGAAAGGGGTAGGGGTGGGGGAGATAGTGTGGGTGGGTGGTTTTAGTTTTTATTTTATGTCTGTTTTTTTATTTTTCATTTATTAGTTAATATAATTGTTTTCCTTTTTTTTTTTGAGAAAAAAATATAAATTTAACATATTATTCTTTAAAATTGGTCAAAATAAGTCAAATTCTAATTCTCTAATCAACTAATGGTTAAACCAAATTGGTCAAAATAAGTCAAATTCTAATCAACTAATGGTTTTCATCTATTTGGACTCCATGTACGAATTTTTGAAATGTTTGGTATCCAGAGTGGTACAAATGAAAGATGTGAGTAAAATCTGTAATTAAATGAAAGATTCGGTACCATAACTGTAATTTAAGAACGTGTAATTGAACAGAAAAACGTCTTTTAAATATTATTAAACAAGGTCTAGATATGAAAATGGAGACAATACCATAGGGAGGTAGTACCGTCAAAACCGAAACGAACGCTAATGATTTTCCCTTCTCCTCTTTCTCGTTCAATCATCTGTTCAAAATCGTCGCTGCCGCCGTCAGCTCTCAGCCACCGCCGACCACCTGTAGAAAATACATACAGATATATAGAGAGAAAGAAAGAAATATAGAGAGGGAGGGGGCCAGTGCGTGGAGACGGAGATTGAAAGGATGATAACGCGGTCAAATTTGGCGGAGCAGCTGAGAGAATATCAAATTCGATCAAAGCATGGCTGGGCTTCGACATCTTTTTTCTCGTCAACCTCTCATCTTACCTCCTCTAGGTTTGTTTTCCATTTAATCAATTCTTTCAGTTTTAATTATCTCGTTTTCCTTTCATCAACTGTTCTTATTTCTCTCTGTCTTGGTATATAGGGTTCCTTCAAACCTAATTTTG